GTCTGCGCGTCTGCGTGTCTGCGTGTCTGCGTGTCTGCGTGTCTGCGTGTCTGCGTGTCTGCGTGTCTGCGTGTCTGCGTGTCTGCGTGTCTGCGTGTCTGCGTGTCTGTGTGTCTGTGTGTCTGTGTGTCTGTGTGTGTGTGAGTGAGAGTTTGTGAGTTTATGTGTCTTTGTGTCACTGTGTTTTTTTGTCTGCGGTGTATGTCAACCAACCGCTGGCACCTCAAGGGAAGCAGACTGAACATTCGCCCATGCCTGATGCTAGAGCGATCATGTGCTATGATGGATGTAAGGAATGGTGAGCTAGTCTTTCTCACATTTTTTGGAACCCCATCGTGGAGACAAGCCTTGGTCATCGCCAGAGAGCTCTGGATCATGCACGCTCCTAGTGCGGATCACAGCTGCCGAAGAAGAGGCGGCCGAGGCCCTAGCCACGCTAAGCCTGGGGGAGCACCGTCACGCGGTGCGAGGTGGCCGACAGGCGATTCGGAAGGCATGCTTCGAGAAGTCACTGTCCTTCAGGCCCAGGAACTCTTGAAGAAAAAGCCTGCAGCTGCCAGCCACGAGGAGGAGAAGGCCAGGAAGAAGTCCTCCAAGACAGAAAGAAGAGAGCGAGAAGGAATTTGCTCGGCGGTGGCACGACCGTAGATGTGCCAGAAAGAGGAAGAAGCTCGCAAAAGCAAAGCAGATACCCACTGCTAACGAGGAGGAAGGAAAAGGACAGCAGCAGCAGCCGGAGCCAGCAGCAGCAGCAGCGAGAAAGGCAGCTCAGAAGCAGACATACTGGGCAAGCTGAAGGACAATCAGCACTTGCAGAAAGAGGACTTGTCTTCCCTCCTCACGCTGGAAATGCTCAAAGAGCTGAGGTTGGCAAGGGGGATCAGCAAGGAGAAGAAGAACAAGAAGCAGAAGAAGGAGCGGAGATGCAGTCTGGACTCAAGCTCAGGCAGCAGCGCGAGCAGCGACGGCCTGAAAGGCAGCAGCAGAGCCGCCCGGGCCTTCCGCGCCTACAGGAAGGGCAAGAAGAACATGGAGCAGAATCCACTTCGGCGCGTTCGACGGTACCTTCGCAAAGTGGAGGGCCACCTGGGAGCCGGAAAGGATACTCCTTACCAGCTTACGGACTACACGAGGAAGTTGAGCTGGGGAAAGCGCAAGTCCCTTCAGAAAGTGCACCACTGGCTGAGCTGCATACTGAAAGAACTGCTGAACGGGCGACTGGAGCAAAGAGCCTTGCAGGTGGTTTGGCACTGCGCGAAGTGCGCTAGACAACGGCTCGTGGGAAGTGGGCTGGCTCCTCACCAGCCAGACATCTTTCAGAAGGTGAAGTTCGGCGGAGAGGCGCAGGAGTTGGAGAATGTGGCCGCATACATCAAAGCTGTGAGCGAGTTGGAAAAAAAGAAGACTCGTGGCGCTGCAAACCTTGCCGGGAAAGAGTTTGTTTGGCGAGGAGAACGGGGACGAGACCGCTCCAGGCAAAGGCAAGGGAAAAAGCACGGGCGCGGCAAGAACGCTCCTGCGGCGCCCAGCTTGCCTGGCGAGAAAGACTGAGCGAACCCGAACACCGCACCAGGGCTTCGTGCAAGCCTCTCTGCGGGGAAGTTTCTCAGCTCCTGGATAGTTCACACGGGTCGTTTCCCAGGTTCTGGAAACAGTATAAAGCTAAATCTAGTTTGGGGCATGATGCATCTATCAAAGATGCTGGACAACTTCTCCCTTCCGTGTTGCCTTGGAAGCACCCTCCCCGTAGTGTGTGTCCTAGAAGAGCAACGCGAGGCGAGGCGTGGGCGTGGACCCAGCAATTGTGGGCGCCGCTAAACTTTTTGGAAGCCGGCGAACCTGCAAAGGCCAAAGCTGTGGCTGGGTCCTTGGACCGTGCTGCGCCCCAATCGTGGACTCCGTTGCACGAACAGAGCCAGGGATCTGTTCAGGGGTGTGCTTAGATACTGTCGCTCCCCAGGGGGACTGAAGGTGAGCGTGGAGTAGCTAAGCTGGATGAACTAAATAAGTAGAATTCAAAGCAGCAAGTACCAATGGGAACCTCCTTCAGATGACACTGTGACGGGCGCGCTGCCTGTGCAGCCAGGGCGAATTCTCTTCCTGCGCAGGCTGGCATCATTGATCCCGCGGCAGTGCTGACTGGCCAACAGCTAGAAGAGTTTCGTAGCATGGAGCATCCTGAAAGAGGACGAAGCGGTCGAACGCATTAGACCTTGCCACATGGTTGAGCCAAGCGACCTCTCGGAGTTGCTGCGCCGTTTGCACAGTGCTGGCATGGTCACATTTCTCCAGGCAGAAGAAGTTCTGCGCCGTGAAAATTCTCCTGTCACAGGCGGCCTGTTCTGTGTCAAGCACAAGGAAAGTAGCGACAGGTTGATCAATGACAGGCGCCCTTGAACGCCGCTTGAGATGGGCCTGACTGCAATCGGGCCCCTCTTTATGTCAAATTGTAATCCCCCTCCCCCTGTTGAAGGTGATGATGCTTTGTTGAGCAGAGAAGACTTCATTTTTGTGAAGCAGCCGCTTACACCAACTCTGGCTCACTTGTGTGGGCAAGACCCACGGTGGATACGTGCCGCCGAAAGTGTTGTAAACGCGAGGTTCTGGCGCAAGCCAGTCGCTTGCTGAAGCAGATTCACTTGCGCCCCACGAATCTCGGTTTGTGTTCAATGAAATCTTTGCAGGGTCGGCCGGCTGACCAAAGCAATGATGGCATCGCACGTGTTCTCGGTTGAAGAGCCTGTGGATTGCTTTGAAGGAAAGCGCAATGTGCCCAAACATGATCTGCTCAAGGGCCCCTTGTTCCGAGAATTAAAGAGGCTTGCGCAGCGACCCAACCAATACTGGCATTTTGGGTTGCCCTGCGGCTCGTTTTCTTTACTTCAAAACTTGAACAAAGGAACCCGCACTAGGCGAAAACCGGAATGAAGAGGTACGCTGCGACGTGAAGCGATTGGCAACTTGCTTCTGAAACGCACTGTCACCTTGTGTCAACTGTTGCGTGATAACCATAGCTTTTGGACCGTAGAGAATTTGCTTGCCAGCTGTGCGCTCACAGTGTTCTGTTGGACCAATGCATGTATGGCTTGACTTTACCCCATCAGAGTGGCGCTCAAGTCCCTTGCAAGAAGTCCACCAGAATTGCCGGAAGCTTTCTTGCTCTCACAAAACTTTTTTCGCAGGTGTGATGGCTTGCACGAGCACTGGCTGGATACGTAAAAGTGACCTTGCAAGCCATTATCCACTGCAACTGTGCAAAGCTTTGGTTGAGTTCGCTCCAAAAGCGTAGTCAAGACGGGACAAAGGGGTTTCTTATTGCCTGTTCGTGAATTCCATCAGTGCGCCATGCCCAGACTTTCCAAAGCTGTCAAGTTTAGACTGGCAAGATACTCGGAGCCGTACAAAGTGAGACTTTTCGCTGCCTTGGCCAATTTCAGACTTCTCCCCTCAGAGAACCAACTCGGATCTGTGAGCAAAATAAGACAGAGGTGCGCCGAATGCGATTTGGCCCTGAGCACCTTTGTGATGCAGCGGCACCAGAGTCACGTTCGTGTTTCAGCACTGCCAAGCATGCCATCCTGGTTTGCCAAATTCTTGCTCCCGCCTTGAAGGGCCACTTGACGGAATCTTTGGCAAACAGTAAAGCGTCGCAAGAGAAGCTAAGTAGTTTGGCTGGCCCTAGTCTCCTTAAGTCGTGCCCAGGGACAAGTGGAAACTTGTCGAACATCTCAGCATGAGTGGTTTGTGTTCAGTGTGTTGCTTGAACTGGGACTTTTGTGCTTGCTCAGACCAGGCGAGTTGTTGAAAATCACTCACGGTGACATTTCGTTGCCCCATGACTGTGTCCCCCAAGAACCGTATGCAGCTCGGAGAAGCACAGTTTGTGTTCACGCGCCCGAGAACCGTTCTCGACCCCTATGGCCAAGGAGCGCAGCACGTTTCAGGGCCATGTTCAAGCAACTGTGCGGCGAGCTTCATTTGACGCCACGCAGGTTGACCCAGACCGGGTGGTGCTACGTGGCTGTTTGGGAAATCCACCAGCGTGCTTTGGGGGGCGCGCAAGGGCTTCCAGGCCAGGCTGGACGCGGTGGAAGCCTCGCAGGCCCAGCGGGGGCCGAAGAACAAGTAAACATGGAGGCGCTGAGGGATCGCCGACGACTTCAACGTGCGGGACCCCCGCAAGCTGTATCGCCTCGCGAGGCAGCGAGACCTCAACGTTCGACGTCGCTGAAGGCCGACGTGGGCCGGCAGGTGCAGGCGCCCCGGCCACGTGGCAAGTCGGCTGCCGAGGGGCCGAACGACCGGCTGCAGGCCGACCTCATCGACTTCAGCCAGAACACCCGGGGGAAGACCAGGTACCGGGAGCTGCCTGTGGAGACCGTGCACCAAACGAAGCGTCCGAGGATCGCAAAGCCACGGCCGTGGTGGACCGTGGCACCCAGACGCTGAAGAAGGACCTGGCCACGCGCGTGGCCCGCAAGGGCGGGCAGTGGAGCGACCACTTCGAGCGAGCAGCCGGGGCCTACAACGCCCGGCCGCACGAGACGGTGTACGGCGTCCCCGATCCCTGGAGCACTACATCCAAATTGCGACTTATGGCACTGTTTGGCCCCAGCCGGCTTGCGCTTGCTGGACCTTTGTCACATGGCCGTCGCCGCTAGGCTCTTCCGTTGAAAGTGTTTTGGAGTGGTCACAAGCCTATGCGCGCCTTGCCATTGCCCGACCTGGATTTTCGGGCGGAACCTTCTCGGAGTTGACTCATGATGAGTCGCGTTGTGCGGCAAAGCGGTACCCTTCTGACAAAGGCTTGCACAAATACGCAAAAATGCGCATGGCCGTGCACGACTACCAACTGCCTGATGAACCAGAGCACGCGCAACAGTCAGATGATCCTGCGCCTTGCCGCCCCCTTCAACGCAAACCAGACAAAGGGAAGCCTCGCAGATGCAGTGATATTTGTGCATATTTGAGCCAGTGCTGGCTCAGGAAATCACGGCCCGCAGCAAGTGCCAATAGTCATTTGCCTGTTGCTTGTGGTCTTGTGCTTGCGACCTGTGGCTGCCATTTTGCTGTCAAAAGTTTTTGTGGCCCTCGCCAGGAACGTTGTCAGATACGCCTTCAGATTCTGCGTGCATCTCATGGACGGTATCCTAGAAGAAGTCATCATGCAATTAGATTTCTCTTTGGCGCAACCATTGCCGGGAGCCAGCGACATGCCAGGCTTATCTATGGGGGCTTTCATGTTGGGGCATGTAGTTTCAGTGTGTGCCGGAGCCACTTTGCTTCCGAGTCTTCCACCACGTCCCCTCCGCCTCCCTTGGCGGTGTTGGGGGGCTGGATGCTGGGGAGCTCGCTCTATGTGTATTCACGGTGCAAATTACAGCAGTTGCTTTGACTTTGCAAAGCAACACCAGCAGGCAGCTGTTGTGACAACGGGTGGTCGCGCGAAACGCTTGCCTCACCCGCATTGCGTGCAGTGGTAACGCGTCACTTTCCGTTGATGCCCTGCCTTCTCACACAACACGTGTTCGCCCCTTTGCAAGAAAAGCACGTTGCGGCTGCGTAAGTGCAAGGAGGGATTGACGGTGTATGTCAACCAACCGCTGGCACCTCAAGGGTTCAATCTTAGGCCACTGCCGCCCCTTCCACCGCTGGGGAGCTTGCTCTATGTGTATTCACTGGTGCAAACCACAGCAGTTGCCTTGGCTTTGCTAGGCAACACCGGTGGTCGCGCGAAACGCTAATTGCATGCCTCACCCGCGCGTTGCATGCAGTGGCAACGCATCGCTTTCCGTTGATGCCCTGCCTTCTCGCCCACACGAGTTCGCCCCTGTGCAAGAAAAGCACGTGACGGCTGCGTAGGTGCAAGGAGGGATTGACATTTGTGTCTTTGTGTTTTTGTTGGTGTGTTTGCGTGTTTGTGTGCTTGTTAGTTAGTTAGTCAGGCAGTCAGTCAGTCAGCCAGCCAGTCAGTCAGTCATTCAGTCAGTTTGTTGGCTTGCTTGCTTGTTTGTTGGTTTGTGTGTTTGTGTGTTTGTGTGAACGCACAGAGCCAGCTCTCCGCCTAAGATTTGAAAAGTCTGTGTCTTAGATTCCCAGGCTGCTTTGCAAGAGGGGGGAGAGGGAAAGAAAGCAGTAAGATTCAGAAGTGCGCGCGCCTTATTCGTTGCTGGCTGGCAATTCCATGTTCGCATCCCATCATTGCGGGCCCTGCCCTGCTACGCAGATGCAGAAAGGCTTGCAGCTGGCAGGGGCCTCAAAGATGCAACCCTGGCTGCCTCCAAGCGCTTTGAATGGTGCCTGTCAATCTCTTTTGAGATGCTCCACTTCGGATCGACTACATACTGATGAATGCACAAGCCTATGAGTGAGACCCCCCCAATCCGGTTCCTCAAGCCAGAAGCTGCCTCATCGCACACCGCCTCTGCGCATGGAGGAGCATGCATTGAGGTTCCCCCTCCAAAGAAAAGGCTCCAGGCTGTGCAGGAGATGTGGGCGCAAACAATAGATGTCCTAGAAATGCATTTGGAAAAGGAAGAACATGTTCTGATCGCAGACAATTGCTCCACTATAGGGATCCCCACCCGAAATCGCTGGTGACCGCAAGCCCAAGGATGTGATTGCGCTTGGCGCAGCCGTGAATGCCTACGCAGGACCGACTCCATCCGACTTCACATGGTAGTGCTTTGAAGCTTTAAGATCCATGTGACGGCCGGCAGGTCAGATGATAGACATTGCTTGGCCCCATTTGCAAGTACATTGCCCGTCATGAAACCGCTCATGTCTATATATATATATATGTGTGTGTGTGTGTGTATGTCGATGTAGGATATGTATGTATATAAATATAAATATATATATATATATATATATTATTGTTCCAAACAAGTGCAAGCTGCAGGCCGCGATGGGAGCAGCCACCCAAAGAATCAAACCTTGGGGTAGTCTTTCTGGCTTGTGTTTTGTGTTTTTTCTTGGTTGGATGATACCAGGCTTGTGAAATGCCGAGCGATATTGTTCCCTTTGCTTGTCCAGTAAACCATGCCTGCACCCATGCAAGCAGGAGCAGGACAGTGGTCGCATTGCAGCGCGCTATTACGCAGTGCGTGTGGGACGCGAGCTCAGATGACTGTTTGGTGCATACCTTGGGGATAAATATGTATACACATTCATGCATATGTACATGCAGAATTTGAGTCCGATGTCTTTCTGTGGCATTGGCAATTTCGACGCTTTAGCAGCAATCGTGGTATTCATGTTAGAGTACCAGGTTCTGCCAGGGCAATACTGTGCAATGATCATCTCAGACTAGGTCGGGAGTTTTGCCGGACCTCATGACGTGACTTGGTGGCACATCGCCAAAAACGACATTGGAAAAGCGCATGCCTCCAAGTCAACAGTCGCTTTCCATTTGGATTTTAAGGTTTATTTGCAGATGCCAAGTTTTTCGAACAGGTTCAACTCGGCCCTGCGGAGTGCAGACTTGTCGGCATGCTGGAGGCTCACATTTTGTGTTTTGTGACTATTTTGACTGATTTCTGGTTCGGTTGCGTCGTTGCAAGCTGAACTTGGTTCACAAGTGCAATTTTTGCTTGCCAGGTGTGTGTGTGTGCAGCAGGTAAAGCCAGTTGTATTCCGAAGTAAGCTGCCAGCCTGCAAAGATCTGTGAAGGCATGGAACACAAGGCTATCCACGTTGCAAGCTGCGCAGGCCTGCCGTCAACTTCCTAGATTTCCAGAGGCGCACTTTTCTTCCGCTCACTGCCGTTGATTTGTTCCACGAATCGACACTTGTGACTTGTAGGCGTTGCAGTGTGCAGCCGGATGTCATCTCGTGCCACCAGAAAGCAATACCTGCCTGTGTGTGTGCCTTTGTGTTTGTCAATGTGGTGTTGTGTATGTGTTGGTGGCTAGGTGTTTTCAGGTCTCACTCGAGGCACAGTGGGATGGGCAGAGCTTCCTTCAGGTACAGCCTCTTTGCCGGAGCCTCCGGTCGCCAGGGGAAGTGGAGTTCAGCTGGAGCCCCAGAGAGGCTAAGCCATGCACTTGTGCCACGTGTTCCAAACCCAGGGTTCTGGTGACCTTGAGGGCGTGTTGTGAAAGCCTGGGCATCATCAACAATTTTCAACCGGTGTTTCGGGTGAATATCTATGTGTCTTCCAACAGTCTCCAATTTGATGGGAATCAGCGAGGCAGCAACGGTGCAATGCAAACATATCAATTGAATTGTGCAGGCAAACTTGCGCTGTGAGTATGGAGCCGTCGCAGCTTTGAAATGAGTCTTATACCAACCCACCCTAAAGCCAACATGAACCCACCCCAAGCCTAAACCACCACCAACCCTACATCCTTCCAGAATCCATCTAGCCACCTCCTAGACAACTAAAAACGACCCGAACCCAGCCCAAACTCATCTTGACAAGTCTAAGCCCACCTTGAACCCACTTGAACCCCCCAAACCACCCTAAGCCCACCCTAAACCTGCACCTACCCTAAACCACAATCAAATCCACCCAAAAACCTGCCTGATGCCGCCCCCCTACACCCCGCGCGCCAAACCCCCCTTTAAACCCACTCTAACTTGGACCGGGGAAAAGTTCTGCAAGTGTCTGATGAAAAATCTGAACAAAAAGGGGGGTTGCCAAGAAACAAAGAAACACGATAACCCTGTGCTTCACGTGTGCGTTGCGCTGAGGTCTGTGGGCTTCTTCGGATGCATGGCTTGGTGCCGGCAGCTTGGCGGGTTCCCACTGCCAAGTTGCAAGCTCACAGCATTTGGTGATCCAAACCTTTTCTCCTTTCGCCGCTCGGTTTTTGCAACGCGAAATCCAGTGTGTCGCTTACCCGTCAGGATTTCCCTTAGTCACCTTAGTCCAGCCAATTCGCAGAATGAAGAAGCTCCCCTTTTTGAAGAGTACAGCTGTGGCAGCTCAGGGACCCGGTAGCATGTCGGCCGGAGGCCAGATGTCATGATGCTGGGCACGTCCCTCATGGCCTGTGAAAAGGCGCTGCGGATTGCAAACGAAAACTCAGGGCCCCCTCCAGCAGAAATCTGCAGCCTTATGCAGCCTTTGCCTTCCAAGTGTGGCGTCAAGACCTGCTCACAAGCTTAAAAGTGGCCACCATGTCACACGCTGGTGGTTGGAACAGGTTGGAACGAACTGTTTGCCAGAGTTTATTGCGCTTTAACTTTCAGGATTCGGTGTGTGCGAAATAGCTTCTTTTTTTGAACCTTGCAAGCACATGCGGTGTTGTCGAAGCATGTCATATGGCAGCATCGTGGGAACAAAATCTCATGTCGAACCCTCATGTGCAAGTTCGGCTTTCATTATGTTTCCGGTCGTTCTTCCAGTTCTTGGCCATTTGGCCCCAAAACAAGGTTGAGGTCCGCCGGTCTTTGACGCAAAGACTGGCATGTTCGCCAGGCGCAGCAGTGGGAGAGGGCCCTGCAGGCCGCATCCGACAGCCAGCTGCAGCTGGATAGGCGCTTTGGGCATGGCGTAAGGGCGTGGTGCTTGGGTGGGTCCCTGCCTGTTTGAAGCGTGTTTGTTTCGGTGATCGGTGCGACAAGTTTCAATTTGGCGGGTCGAAAGTTTGCGTAGGTTCTGGGCAAATTACAGCGACGCCACTAAGTCACTAAGAGGGGTTGCGACGTCACCCATAGTGAAGGTTCCTTTCACAGGGGTCCCTTTCTTCATGTATAGTTTGCCCAGATTGGTTCGGCTGATGATATGTTGCTGGCATGGCTGCTGAGCTTATGCGCTTTCCAAGGGCCGGTAGGAATGATTGAAACTGGGCATATTCCGCACAATGATAAGGGTTTTACAGTAGTAGTTGAATCCTTGCAATTCTGAGACCATCGCCAACAGTTCACCTTTGATGCAGGACCAATAATGCATGCTTGCTGTCACGTGTCATGCAAATGTGCTTGGAACTGGTTGAGTTCTGTGGCTCATGCAAGAAAACTGCTATTTTGTGCAAACTCAGCGTGTTTCTGCTTT